TATGTAATTATTTCTTGTCTTTAAGCTTACTTAGTACCATTTTTAATATTTACTTATTAAAATAAAATATTTTATATATGACAACGATCGATGATTTTGTATATATGTTATTATTTTAACAATTTTTAATAAAATCTAAGGTTAAAAAAAATTATATACGAAATTGTCGATCGTTGTCACATATAAAATATTTTATTTTAATAAGTAAATGTTAAAAAATAGTACTAAGAAAACTTAAACATTAGAATGAAATACATATTATATAAAAAGAACAGACTTATATCATCAAAATTGAGAGAATAATTAGCAGTTGAATTTCGAACGGACAAAAAATTTAAAAATGACAAATATTCGCTCAATTTTGATGACATTTGTCTGTTCTTTTTATATGATATGTAATTATTTCTTGTCTTTAAGCTTACTTAGTACCATTTTTAATATTTACTTATTAAAATAAAATATTTTATATGTGACAACGATCGATGATTTTGTATATAATTATATTATAATTATATATAAAACCATAACATACAAAATCGTCGATCGTTGTCACATATAAAATATTTTATTTTAATAAGTAAATATTAAAAACGGTACTAAGTAAGCTTAAAGACAAGAAATAATTACATATCATATAAAAAGAACAGACAAATTTCATCAAAATTGAGCGAATTATTATGATTTTAAAATTTTTCATCCGTTCGAAATTTAACTGTTAATTATTCTCTCAATTTTGATGATATAAGTCTGTTCTTTTTGTATAATACGCAATTCATTCTTGTCTTTAAGATTACTTAGTACCATTTTTGATATTTACTTATTTAAATAAAAGTTTTATATTGTAACAACCATCGACAATTATTTTCGATTTTATATAATTACGGCAGAATTACGGCATTACGGCATAATTACGGCATTACGGCAGAATTACGGCATTACGGCAGAATTACGGCATTACGCCCGAATTACGGCATTACGGCAGAATTACGGCATTACGGAAAATAATTGCAACTAGGTATTGAGTTGCAACTAATTGCAACTTTTGAAAATAATTATGGCAGGTATCTTTAGATGGAACAAGTGATATTTACCTTGAAGAGGTATAATATTACTTTGAACATACACTTACCTTTCCAAATGAATTCAGAACATATCTTTTAGCATATGTTAAATAGTATAAGAATGCAGTAGGGATGGGAGACACAATACGAATTGAGCCAGGAATTTAGCTAGATTTAATTTAGCCAGGACACAATTAATTGAGCCAGCTTGATATTAATTGAGCCGACCATCTCTACTTGTTTGAATATAAATTTCAGTATTTTGTATATAAAATTCATATAATTTTTTTAAATATTTAAATGTTACTGGAGTTTTTGATACTTCTTGCGAAGAACTTTTTGTTATGATGTCTTTGTTGCAATTCTAAAGAAAAATATATTAATATAAATTTAAATAAACATTATATAATAATTTTTATCAAAAAAAATACTTGCAATGTTCATGATTTGTTTTTAATTTTTTTTTTTATTTGTTAATTTATAGGGCTTTTTGACATAATCTTTATAGAGGTATTCATATATTTCTATCGTGTATCTATTAATGATACCAAATTTATAAATTGAAGAACAAATATGGAACACTCACAAATGTAATTTGAAAAATTGAAGCTTAGATGGTGAATGTTCTTCAAATAGTTCAATAATAATTTTGTTTATTTATTTATCGATTCCTAAAATTATTAAGAAAAAATTTTAATAAAAATTATTATATAATGAATTAAAATATTATATAAAAATATATATTGTTATCTACAGAAGAGTAATATCAGATTCTTCATAATTTTCTTTTCTTAATAATAAATATATTTTATTTTATTTTAAATATATTTCAATAATTTTGTTATTTTTAATAAAATGTGGGTTTTTGGAATTTTGGTAAAGATTGTCTACAATAAAAATCATTATTTTCATAAGGTTTTGGTATTCTGAGACAGTTAGTAAGGTAAGATATAAAAAACTATTAGAAAATGACTTTAGATCTTTATAGTGAGGAATTTTCATAATATGATGATTCATTTTATTGGTAATAAATTTTTCACATTGTTTAGTAATTAAAACTTTAGTAAAGTTTAATTGATATTGGAAAAAGTCAAAATCAAGGTGATGTATTTTATCAAGTACTGTTGTGGCATATATATTAATATCCCTATTAAATTTTAAATTTTATTAATATTTTCATTATTCATTATTTAAAAATATAAAATTTCATACTTACGGGACACTTCAAAAAAAATTTCGTATATTTTCTATGTTAATGTTTTTTTCCGTATAATTTTTATAATGTAATTTCATATTTTTATGAAATTTTAATTCCATTTAATTGCTATTTAAGTTTATATTTGATAAATTTTCTTTAGAAATGAGACAAAAATAACAAGGATAATTTGATTGTATTGATTTATATGTTAATACAAATGTGCATACTTTAGGTCAATTAGAAATAATCATAGAAATTTTAGGAAAACATCACAATGTTCTATTATTTAATTCTAATTCTATACTATTATTTTTGTTATATAACGGAAACAACAAAAATTTGAAAAATTTTACAAACTATATTTTTATGTTTTTCAGATTTTTTTTGAGTATCATCTTTTACCTTTATAATAGGAAGATATGCTAATAATTGTTTTATATCTGATTTATTTCTACACCAGATAATGATATTACCAAGAGTTATAAAAATAAGATACAAGATATTTTTTTCAAGAAAGTCAGTAGTTGAAGTGTCAGAATATAATATGATTGATATTAGATATGAACCAAGTAGTAAAGTTTTTTCTGTTTGTGTCTACTAATTGGCAGTGTACTGCTCATTGTAATTTCTATTATTATTTGACTATAAAATGATATATAATATTAGAAAATAATAATTTATAATACTATATTATTAAAATTAATTACCTAATTATTTTTAAAATTAAATGTCATATATTTATGTATATTATTTATTGATAAAATGTTTTTAATACAATTTATTATAGGCCAATAATATATGATATAATTTTTGTTGTTATATTTTAATATAGTTTTTTCTTTGTTTAATAAGTTAATTAATTTTATTCTATCCATTAATTTTCTTTCTTGTTTTACGTTTTTGAAAAGAGGTAATGTCAATAGGCTTAAATGTTTATTAAAAAAATATATTATTGTGTTTTCAACTTTATTATTTAGATTATATTAGATAACTAATGGTTTGGTTTCAGTTTCTTTTTCTTCTGATTTGAATTCATTTTTAATTTTATTTGATTCAGATTCAAATTCAAATTTATCAGATTCGAATTCAATTTTATCAGATTCAGATTTGAATTCTTCAGTTTCAAATTTGAATTCTCTAAATGTAGGCTCTTCATATTGTATAGATGTGAGTTCTTCGAATATTAGGCTATTAATACTTTGCAGAAGTTCATCTATTTCAACATTTATAATTTATATTAGTTATATACAGTATATTTGAAAAATTATAATAAGAAATTTTTGCACTTTACATAATGTTATTGATTATTCTGTTACTTCTTGAACTAGACCTAGGTTTGTTATTCGATATATAAATTATTTTATTATTTTGATTATCTTTACTATTATCCTATATAAATAAAAGATGATATCAGATTTATTTTGAATAAAAATTTCTTCAGAACTACTTGAAATATTTGAATTATAATTTTCAAAACATCTGTTTACATGTTGACTATAAGTAGAACGGTTTGAAAGAATGCGATTACAAAAAAGATATGCAAAAGCTATTATTATCATTAAATAAATAATTGAAAGGAATGATTAATAAAATAATGGAATTTGGTTAATTTAAATACTTTAATATTTATAAATTACAATTGTTATTTAATAATTATAATTTTTCAAATTTAGAAATTTATTACTTATTTAATATTGATTTAAAACATAATACAACATTATTATGATTCAATGCAACATAATTATCTATATTAAAATATATATTTAATCAAAGATAATAAGAATTCTTCAAGGAGAACTTTATAAAATTTCTAAATCATAAAAATATATGTAATATATTTTAATTATGGTAAAAAAGAAGTTTATTTGAAAATAATATAACAAAAAAACTCTTTCCCATTTATCAATTTTTGAGTAAAAAATTACAGTAAAATTTTAAACGAAATAGTTTTAGTTTTATTTTAACTTGAATAATAATTAACCGTGTTATATTTAATATAGACAATAAACCATTTGAAAAACCTAAGAGAGCTGGTGCTAACTATATAGGTACTGCTCAAATTCAAAATGCTAAATTCCAAATTCCAAATTTCAAATTCCAAATTACTAATTGTCAAAATTCCAAATTTCAAATTATGCCAAATTCCAAATTTCAAATCTCAAATATTATGAAAACTGAATTTTGACAGCTGAAATATCAAAATAATTTGGAATTTGGATAATATGTATAGCTAACTATATTAGAACTCCTAATGTTATTTCGTTATCAAATAAAAAACAAATTTAAATTCAACCCTATTGACAAGAAAGAAAAATTTTTAAATAAAAAACAAGGTGTAGAAAACACAATGATAAACATAGAACAAATAGAAGAAATACTAAAAAGTAAACCATTTTCAAAAGTTATAATTTTATTAAAAGATAATAGTAATGATACAAACAAAAATCAAATTACTGAAGAAATAACAGATGTAGAAGAAAATGAAAAAAATGAAGAATTAAATAAAAACCAAGAAAATAATAATACAACTAGTTGAACAAAAGTAGTAAAGAATAAAAATAAAGGAAAGGTAAAGAAAAAGAATACACATTGGAAATTTGGGGGTTTTGGGACAAAACTGTCAATATTGACAATAGTGTGTTGGCCCTGCTGGAAGCTCAAATCTGTTATCATTTTTTCTAACCATATCTATGCCATGGGATTTTTATTTTAGACCACACTCGAATGACGTGTGATTTATGTTTTAGGCCACATTTTCAACATATTTTTGTTAGATTTATTTTATGCTACTCTGCTTGTTGTTAAAAAAAAACAATAAGAAGTGGTGAAGGATATTCATTACATTCATATCCTGATTCCTTCTCAGACGTTCTAGCAAGCTAAAATGCATATCATTTCATTAAATCTATCCAAAGTCTAACCAAAAATTTAATATATTGATGGGGAAATTAGGACAGAAAAATTATAGTGCTAGATACATATTAAATCTTTATAAAATGTATTTTTCATATACAAGTTAAATCTAACGAA